AGAGGAAGAACTGTCACTTGTTTTATTATTTTCCTTTTCTATTTCACGAAAGTAAAAAGAGTTACCTATCTGATTCGTTCAGGCATTCAATTTAAAGAATATCAGTAACTTTTTTGATAGAGGGATTTTATATTTGCCATGTTGGTAAAAAATAACGGTCAAAATTCAAAGTTATTCATTTTATAGACTATATCAATGTTTTTGGTACCAATTATTCCTAAGAAACCCCATAGTGCTAATTAATTAACATAAATATTTGATTGAGACATATTTGGTTTTAGAATAGAATATTATGCACTTTTGCCATTATAGCAATCAGCATTTTGAGAATTTAAAGTATTTGCTTAATCTAACAAAAAATCTGTGGTGATAAATGCATCAATCTGCATCTTGTATAAAATAAAAATAATAAATAATAAAAACTGAATATATGATGCATCGAGTAATACAAGAATGGAACGGTGGGATATCCGTGGGGGACAGGAGGATAAACAACCTGAGATACGCGGATGATACCGTGATTATAGCCGCCAGCAAAGAAGAGTTGCAGGAATTCATGGCTCTGTTAGTAAAGAATATGACTTGGAACTAAATAAACGGAAAACCAAGACAATGATTGTTGACCGCCTCCGCAACTATCAGCCTGATTGTGAGCCAATTCAACTACTTAGGTTCCATGATAGCAAACTCTGAGGATGCGAGGCTGAAATCAGGTACAGAGTGACAATGGCGGGGATTGCAACAAAGCTGAATGAGATATGAAAGACTTCAGAAATCACACGGAAAACTAAACTGTGCATTGCGAATTCTCTCAGTTTCTCCATAGCTATGTATGGCTCTGAAACATGGACACTAAAGGAAAGTGTTAAGCAAAGAATAAACGCCTTGGAGATGTAGGCATATCGACGGTTGCTGCGAATACCATGGACGGCTCATCGAACAAACATTTCTATTATTGAAGGACTAAAAATTGAGACACGTCTGGCTACCAAATTGAATCAGTCAATCCTGCGATATTTTGGCCATATTGCCAGGAGTGGCACCTCAATTGATAGACTGATGGTGGAGGGGAAGGTAGAGGGAAGACGATCACGTGGAAGGTCACCTATGAGGTGGGTAGACCAAGTCAAAACCCTAGTGGGCCACAACCTCCCCGAAGCCTCACATATGACGCAGTGTCGAACAACTTGGTCCGAGGAAGTGAGGGGAATCAACGCATGATGTCACCATACTCTCATGTAGGTTGAAGGACTGAAAAGAGACCATGCTGTAATTTTTGTGGTCCATCTGTTCTCCGTCCTTCTTGCCAGGTGTCCCGCCCATTACCACTTGAGGGATTTGATTTTGTGAATGATATCTATTACCTGGGTCTTTTGTTGTATCCACGCTATTCTTTTACGGTATTTTTTGGTTATTCCCAGCATAATTTCGTTCCATTTCAGTTTCCTTTCAAAAACCATATAGTGTATCAAATTATATACAGGGTGAGTTTCCTATGAAGTTCTCTATGGGTATCTCGAAAACTACTGGAGATAGAGAGTCGGTTAAATGGGGAAAGAATTGCAGTTTTGTGGGGTCATAAGTATGCGCCTTTCAGATTTTTTAGAAAGTTCATGGCTTACTAGATATTTAAAAAAAAAAAAATTCGGCTATTTTAAAAATTATCCCTAATTCCATTAAAAGCTATTTTAGACAAAAAGTTTTCAGATAAAAGTTGTAGATAATCGCATCCTTAATGAGACTGTGTCGTCGGTTTTTTTCTAAAGCCTGTCATTTTTGACATATGACACAAACATAGGTTTTTTTAAATGGAAACCATAGTTGGCCATGACTTCATAAAAAGCGCCATTTTTTAAGCTTTTTAGTGATATAAGCTATAATATCTTTTTTAGTTTTGCCAATTTTTGTCATTTTAAACAATTTCACTTAGGTAGCCATGAAAACAAGTTCAATCGCCAATGCTCTCAGAAATGTGAAGCTGTCACATTCAAAAAACCTATATTTGTGTCATATGTCAAAAATGACAGGCTTTAGAAAAAAGCGGAGGACACAGTCTCATTAAGAATGTGATTATCTACAACTTTTATCTGAAAATGTTTGCCTAAATAGTGTATAATGGAATTAGGGACAATTTTTAAAATAGCCGAACTTTGTTTTTTTCAAAATATCTAGTAAGCCATGAACTTTTTCAATAATCTGAAAGGCGCATATTTATGACCCCACAAAACTGCAATTCTTTCCCCATTTAACCGACTTTCTATCTCCAGTAGTTTCCGAGATACCCATAGAGAACATCGTAGGAAGCTCACCCTGTATAGGTCATATTTTTTTATCAGATACGAGATCCCAGTAGTGGGCATTTTTATATAGGACACCGTGTATATTAATTTAATCGTATTATTAAAAAAAAACAGAAAACACGTATCATCAAAATTTCACTTTTTTAAATATAAAATATAAATATATAAATAAAAATATAATATAAAAATATAAATATAAATAAAAAACTTTTATTTTTTCCAAGATGGCCTCTTTTACGTCTACTTTTTCTTTCACAATCTATAAAATCGTGGGAAAGAAATAAAAATAATTAAAAAAAAACTTTAAATTGCTTCAATTGGTTCAATTTAGTTTGAAAGCGTACGTTATTATCTTTCCGTTTGCAGTTTTATGTATTTTCTGTTAAGGCCTCTCTACATAAAACGTTTTACCTGCCAGTTTTGCTTGTCAAATTACACGGACAACCGGCTAGAGTTCTCAGGACGATCGTCCATGTTAGCCATGTTGATGGGACCCGTCTACTCCCGTCTTGCCTGACAAAATTACTATGATTTAAAAATAAAACGGCCGCATCTATATCTTCTAATCTCTATGGTACAGACCAATTGCCTCATTTTTTTTTCAGTTTATTTCGCGTTGCAAAATGTTAATTGATATTTTACATTCCTGGCGTTTTGTTATATGTTTAGTTTTGTAGCGAGATACAGTAATTTAAAGTCATATAACCACGCCCTCTGACTATAGCGCAATAATATATTCGTGAGCTGGGTATTACATTTTTCGCACACAGTCCATTGTGTGTATCTTTTCAGGTTGAACTGGATTAATAACAAATTAGGATTTATTATCATTGTGTTTTTCCCACGAGTACGGACAATTACGAGGGGATTTTTAAAAGTTTTTCATTTAATAATATACCACATTTTTTTTAATATACCACATTTTAACGCCTAGGCATAAAAGTAAAGCACTTTTACGCCTAAGTACAAAATGACAAAAATATATTATTAAACTAACTATTATTAAGTGTCAATTTCAACTAGTGTACCCAGTATTATTTGATATACAGGGTGTCCCAAGCTGAACGTGCATTAGAAGTTTATAGAGAACTACAATATCTAGATCGGAGATTTTTTTCACATCACTGTTTTGTAATGAAGTTCATAAAATTTCTAGGACACCCTGTATATTGTGTTAATATTATACTAGAATAATAGAACCTTCATGTTCTTTTAATAATGACAGTCAATGTATTTTATTGTTAGATCATTATTGTAATGAACTTCATTAGTGTTCTTATTGTTGAATTAAATAAGTTAAATATTTAATTGCCATTTTGTAAGAGAGTTTTGATCAGTTTGTGGTCGCACGCGAAACAGTGAGGTTCGAGTCCGGAGTGCCCTGCCAAGTGTCCTGCTGCCAGCCGCCTGTCGCCGCACTGTATAAGGTAAGCACCCACCGCCAAAGTGATCGAGGGTAGGTCGTATTATTTTTATAGTTATTAAGCGTTTACTCGACTACCAAGACGCGTTATAGGGATAAGGGAGTTAGTTGACGGGATTGTTAGGATATTAAAAGCGCGGGAGAACAACCATTGCCGACCAGGCAAGGAGGGACTACGTTGTGCTACGAGCAGGTCGCCAGGAATGATGTCCTTTTCTTTTAAAGGTTGTCTGACATCTGCTCCGGTCTGACGTATCCTTCGGTTGATGAGACGAGAGTTCGTAGTTTTCTTCATTAATATTAAACTTGCCAGGATTGCCGAGCAGGCAAAAAGGGACTACGCTGTGCTACGGGCAGGTCGCCAGGAATGATGTCCTTTCCTTTTAAACTTTTTTTAAAAATATTTTTTTTTTAATTTTTTTTAATAATTTAAAGTTTATTTAATAATATAACCGATAATGTACACACGGCTTTGGGTGCCGATTGTCGTGCACAGAGTCTATAGACTCTGTGATTTTATAAATGAACAAAGAGAAAAGAGCAACAATTTTCCCAAGCGCATGAAGTTGAGCTCCGGATTAAGTGGATAGGTAATAATTTTCTCTCCCCGACTTACAAGATTGCCATAGCGATTCACTTCTAGACATGTGGGTAAATGATGACTAAAATAAACGACCCAAGATTTTCTCTTGCTGACCAGTATATTATCGTAGTCTTAAAGAAATTAGAATCAAATAAACTATGTTAAAAATTTTCATGTATACTACTGAAATGAAGATAATATATCTAAGCTAAATGTAATCTATTACAGTTGTAGTAAAATGAGTAACTAATTGTCGAAAATCCAGATCCAACCCTAGATGCCAACATTTTTTTGAAACGTCTACTTATGCGGTTTGAAATTTTGATGCAAAATCTGGCAATACCGCTCAGAAGAAATGTACCCACCCATACCCACCCAACTTTTTTCTCTTTTTAATACATTTGATTTGCCATTAAGCTGCCTACATCACTGTCTTACACGTTAAAATCCTCTACACAGAGTTGGCCTGTCCCGATCGGTATAAATTTCTTTGTTTCAATCGCCATTCACCATTTTGTCAATAATATATTTCTTAAATATATTATCAGAGATAACATAGTAAAAATCACAGATAACATAGTAAAATTACTATGTTATCTCTGATATTATTGACAAATATGCAATATTTTATATATCACAGAGCTGGGAATAGGTGAGGACTAAATGAATGCAATAAATTTCATTTATGTAGGTATAATACGTATATTAAAACTGCTTTCACCATTTTGTCAAGAAATACATAGGTATTTAAATTAATAAACAATACATTTTGGTATGTCTTTTAGTATGTCTTTTATCGTAACATATTTAGTTATTTAAAAAAAATATATAATTTTTTTAATCATCACCTCCGGTCATCACTTCCATAAATTCTGAAAATTTAATCATGCATAAATCTGAATTAAAAATAATCATATAAAAAAACGACGTCACCGTAGCCCTTGAAATGTCATTCATATAGAACTGACGTAAAAAATTGTAAATAACTAATGCTTAATTAAAAAAAATGTTTTAAAAAAGTTTAGATACAGCAATCTATTTTTCGGAAGCAATTATTAGTTAATGAATAAATTTCTATGTGTTAATTTTGAAATGACAGTAAGTGTCGGCACAACATGAATATAATCGATGATTGTCTTTTCAAAGGCCACTGTGACACTGTCTTTTTTATTTATTTTATGAATAATTGTACCGTCATAATCTACAGTTCCAGAGCCATCAGTATCAATTTCAGCTATGATCATGTCCAATTCATCGGAAGTAAGTTTGTCATCTAGTTCTTTAAGGATTTCCTTTAAGGTACTTGTAGTAATATATCCGTTACCTACATTAAAAAAACTGTGTTATGTATTTTAAAAAAATTCTATAAAATATAAAAAATTAACTCGCCTTCTTTATCGTATAATCTAAAGGCTTCCTTTAATTCTTGTTGCATTGCTTCAGCATCTTCTTCCACCATAAACCTTGAAGCTAAAGTTACGAATTCCGCGAATTCCAGTTCACCAGATCCTAGAATACAGAATGTGTTAAAAAAAATTGTAGTTGTATTAAAATGTATGAATGAGTGTTACCCACTTTTTTAGGAAGTAGGTAAGTTTTTTGGCCGGTAACAGTTTTTAATATATTAAAATAACAATGAAGCTTCGACTATTCATAACAATTGTCACAACAATTTGCTTGATAGTCAAAAAAATTGTGTGTGCACTATGTGCGCATATTTCAAGTGAAACTACTAACAGCTATGAAATTGGAGGATTTGAAGGACATCTTTGAAAAATAAAGACATATAAATAAAGCTGTTTTAATATAAATATTATTTTCAATTTATTTCTGTAAATTCTCTGTGTCCTCAATAGCCTGCAAATTTCGTGGAATTTTATGCACATGCCTAGTAATGTTAACGCTTAAATTTATTTAAGAGGAGAAAACATTTTGAACCTAACCAACAATTTGTATTTATAGTGGTTTACAGTAATTTTGTTAAATTATACAAATATTCTCGTTGATTAATGGTTTGAAATAAACGTGACAATGTCCCCCAATAAAAATGCGAGTTGCTTAACTCCAATAATTCTAATTCTGAGCTGCCAATCAAAACGTGTTTTTTGACAAATCACCATAGCAACGGATAAATTTTACTGAAAATTTCACACCTCTACTTTTCAACCAATAACATGCTTTAATGTTGACTAGTTACGATGGCAACTGAAAAAATTTCCGAAAATTTTTTCGAGGCGCCACGAAAGTTTAGTGGAAATTTTTTGACAGTTGAAAAGGTAAACATAAGATCTACAATCATAATGTGAATGAACTACAATGTCTATATATTGAAATATTACCCATTTGAGTTTTAGCATTTGATGTAACTAAGGTTGGTAATATTTTTTATTTAAGGAAATATGTTAGATATACCTACATATGAATTTCTTCGAAATTGCCATGTTCTAAAAAATATAGTTCTGCCGCCTTTATTTAACTAAAGCTGGTATTTTTCTATTTAACGAAATATGATGGATATATCTATATGATTTTTTTAGAATTTATTTCATGTTGAATTATCTTCAATGCCAAATCTTTAATGATATCGACTAATATAGCAAAATAATAACGAAACACATTTAGTAATTATAGGTTTTATTAATATTAAAAACACAATTATTGTAAATGTTTGTAGGCTGGCTTGAATTGGTGGTTTGAATCTGGGTATTTTCTGTTTTATTTTGCATTGTGCTCTGATCATGATTGAACTGGCTAGTACTTGATGAAATGCTCCTCATGGATTCAATCATCTGTTGATGATGTTCAGCGTCCAACTGTAAGTAAGGTTTGATCGACTGACTATTACTATGTCCAGTAATTTTAATGAGCTGTTGTTCACCAACTCCTTTCTTGGCCAAATTCGAAACAGCTGTTGCTCTTGCAGAATGATTGGTTATTTTAACTTTTTTAGTGTCAATTCCTATATCTGAAGCTGCTGATTTAAACCATGAAGATACAATGTTCTTACCAACTGGGCTATTCTTGTACCATCCTTTCGAATTGGGTTGATTCCAGTATGGGTTTGGTGTTAAGAATAGTCTGTCGGTTTGAATAAGATTTCCCCTTTTTTCCATCAACTTTCTAAACAAGCGAACCGGACACATTTGTGGATTTTCGAAATTTCTAATCAACCATTTACTATCCGACAGTTTTTTAGAACCACCTTGTGTGGTTTTAGAGAAAATTGGATTATATTCTATCCGACCTTTTGGGTTTCCGAAATTATCAGTTTCTTCTTTGAAGTATTGGATACAAGCAGAATGTCCTTCCCCTCCTCTCCATGCCAGCTCATGTGAAACTATGTGAAAAAATTTACGCTGCAACCCATCTGGAGTATTTTCATCCCACATTTCAATAATTTTTTTGTATTCGTCACTGGTTAAGGCTGAAGCACTCACTTTTCTTTTTGCTGAATCTCTCTGTAGTATTTTGCGCTTAGCATCGCGTGCAGCTCTGGCGGTCACAAATTCCACATCAGAAAACGGATTAAATTTTATTTTATATTTTTCGTAATAAATTTCTTGCAACTGCTTAGCAGTAGAGTTCCACATCACTTTGACCACACTTTCCTTATAATCTTCAAAATTTTTCTTTTTCATATTAAATGCGTAGTCCTCCAGTATAGTAGCCAGCTGTACTACACTCATACACTCATGAATATTATACGACTTTTCATCACAAAATTCAACAAACTGTTTCCATACACTTGATTTTGATTTTCGGGTGTTATCTGGTTTTATATTTTCAATTTCTTCTTTAATGACTTGTTGGTTTACTTTTCCAAATCGCGACATTTCGCTATACACTTCTTACTCTACGTACAGACGTTTTAAAACTAGTAATAGCTTAATGACAGAATCGCAAACAAAAATGACAAAACACATAATATGTCAAAAACATCAATACCTTGGCCAACTTAACAAATTGAAATTATTTTAAAATGTCATGTTGGATTAATATTTTTTTTTCAAATTTAGGTGCGAAATTTTCTTACCGAATACCACGCAAGCTTAAATTATTCCTGGAAATTTTCTTTCGAATATTTTAGGAAAATTATCCCTCGTCTTCGACTCGGGATAATTTTCAAAATATTCGTGCCCTCAAAAAAATTTCCGAAAATAATTTAAGCTCTTGTGATATTATAAGTGAAAATTTTTTCCTTGTGGACACCCAACAGCGAATTATACTGGAAATTTTTTGACGTTTATAATGACAGAATATCTTTTTGAGAGTCTGATTTTTATTTGTTTACATGATAATTTTGATACATTTCAATTACAAAGCTGAGACGAAAGTTTGTAAACTGCTTCCATACGCCTGACTTCGATTTCCTAGTATTCGCTGGTGTCAACTGCTTAATCTCCTGGCGAATATGTTCTTTGCTTTCATGACCGAAGCGAAACATTTTTTTAAGCCGTGCCGCTTGACACCTTCAAAACTGAAATAGTTTTTAGGTTTGGGTGTCACATAGTTGCCATAGTAACTAAATAATCAATTATCAATTCGACCAAAAATCGAAATAAAAAATCGGTAAAAAAACTTTTAAGTTAAACGGTTTTATCTTATGTGCACTGAAAACTAGAAAATAATAATAACAATTAGGTATTTTGAACTTCTAGTTCAGAAATATTTTAGTACTAGACAGAATAGCTTTTAGGCATATTAGACTAAAATAAAAACGTGGGGCCCATTAACTATTGCTGTAATACTTTCTTCTATACTAAGTGTGGATTGCATCGACTTACTATAATCGTAACTGGAGATTTTGACAATCAATAACCAGCCGTGGCGGCTTCACCAGCGAACGCCGAGCTCATGATCTACCAAAGTATAAAGATATGCTTTGCCATAGGTAGGATTTCAGAGGGGCCCCACGTTTTTATTTTAGTCTAATATGCCTAAAAGCTATTCTGCCTAGTACTAAAATATTTCTGAACTAGAAGTTCAAAATACCTAATTGTTATTATTATTTTCTAGTTTTCAGTGCACATAAGATAAAACCGTTTAACTTAAAAGTTTTTTTACCGATTTTTTATTTTCTAGTTTTTAGTATTTAACGGAAATGCCTACCGAATATTCCTCATTCTATTTAATTCATTTAGTGCATCATTATTACATGTTTTTTTACCTGATAATTTATTACAATCTAATTCCTCAATACATAGCCCTTCCAGAGACTTGACTCGACTTAGAGCCACGTATGCTTGCCCTTCATCAAACAATTTTGAGCCCAAATACACTACTGCATGGTCGACTGTGTTGCCCTGCATTTTATGGACGGTGGATGCCCATGACAAAATTAAGGGTAACATCCTTCTTTCAGCCCTACCATAATTCAATTTTGCTGGAAACTGTATGGCTTTCGGGTGTATAACGTGTATGCTGTCTCTGCCAAAGTCAATCCAAACTGATGGTACATCTGTTTCGTACATTTGGGTTCGACGGAACTGAGGCCAAACAATTTCTGTAATGTGGCCTATAGCACCATTTACCAATCCTTTTGTAACGTCAATGTTGGACCGCAACATTTTCACAAATTCATCACCTATTTTTTTTATCTGTCTTTCTAACGTCACACAATCTTGGACACAACTGTTCTGGACACGACTACTCATGCCCTCACCTAATACGCCATTTTGTAACGACGTCCATCTTAGATTTTAAATTTTGTCATAATCACAGTATTCTACTAGTGTAGCCCTTTCATTTGATACCCATATTGAGGGGGTTGTGGAAAAATATGAAATCCGCCATTTTGTACCGGCGGCCATCTTAGATTTACAATGTTATTGATATTACTATATTGTATTGTCATCGGAACTAAGGGTGTGTAGAATTTAGAATGAGTGGGAGGGGGGTTAATCACTTCGACCTTACAGCTCCATTGTGTCCCCCTTTCTTGAATCATAACTCATCATACAGTCCCAGGGCTTTGACAAAAGCCAGTATCTGGGACGGTTTTATAGAGGGTAGTTCTCCATCTCCAATATCAGTAGTACCAAAATTCATGGCACGAATGGTTGTCGTCTCGGCGCACTCAGTGATGAGGTGTACTGGTGTTTCACCATCTTCCCCACAGAATCTGCATTCGCCGTTTCTTCTTAGTTTCAATCTACTGAGGTGTTCATTGAGGAGACAGTGTCCTGTTAAAAACCCCGTGACAATCCGAAGATTGTTCTTACTCAGACCCAGGAAGATCTGTGATTTTTCTTGATCATAAGCCCTCAGAAACTTCTTCGAGTGTCCTAGACCATTGCAAGATTTCCATTCCAGGTTGCGGATGGAATCTTCCAAGTTCTTGCGTTCCGCCTTGAGTTGGTTACCACTTGGAAAGCAGAACGGTTCTGGTCCAGTTAGTGGAGTGTTCGCTCCTTTCCTAGCTAGATTATTTGCTTTTTCATTGCCTTCTATCCCTTGGTGAATCTAATTCTAAATTCTAAATTCTAAGGGTGTGTACCAAATTTCAGATC